GACGAGACTTTTCAAAAACGGTCTCACGAGCAAGGTCTACACCAGGCTGCACACAGCAGCACGAGAAGTGTGGATGCTCGGTGCCGGGGTGGGAGGGGCAAGGTGTGCAAGAGGGAAGGCCTCACGTGGCAGTGCAGTGGGGGAAGGGGAAGACCCCGAGGGTCCTTGGGCTTCATGCTGGGGTCTGGATCCTATCCTGCAGGGCAAGTGGCCCGTAGCGAGAGGCCTGAGGCCCAGGCGTGCATTAGGAAACAAGACGTGGAAATGCACTCAACAAGTATGTGGAAAGATATCAACTCCACTCACAGAGAATGCACCAAAATAACCGTATTTTTCAGCTGTTAGAGGAAAAACTAAGCAGTTTTAGTTGATGAAGGGGGAGAGAAACAGCCTGATTCCAGGCTGCTTACGGGACTGGTGCCAACCTGCCGGCAGGTAATGGGCTGGCGCTCTGCCCCGCACTCGCAGAGGAGGCTCGCCCGGGCTCCTCGGTGGCCAGCGGCCACGTGGCCGCTCCGGGGACAGGGCCCGGAAGCTCTCCGCTTACACGCACACACTGACGGGCGCCGAGGAGCCTCGCCCGAGGTGGTGCACACGGCGGTACCGTGCCGGTGGAGACAGGCACGCGCCGGTTCTTCGGAGCCCTGGGCCCCCGGCGCTGCTGCCTTCCGTGACGGTGCGTTCTCTCTCTCGGGCTGCACTGATCGGGCGCTGCCGCACGCGTGAAGCCTGCTGAGGCCCTCACAACGCGTGCTGCGGAAACGTGTGAGCGCCGTCTCTGCGGGCCGGGAGCAGCCTGCGCGGCGGGCAGCTGCCTCACCCCGAACATAAGCCTCTCCGGGGCACCGCGAGGGCCGGGGAGAAGGACGCGTGCAGAGGGCCAAGCGTCCTGGGCTGGTCACCGTCCTCAGACTCCGAGGTGAGCCAAACAGGAGTGTGTCCCCGGCGCCCACGTCCCAGAGGGCCCCCAAGTGAAGAGCAGGAAGAAACAGGGAGAGAAAGAGTCCCGGGGAGAAGACACTGAGCGGGGCCCCAAGGGAGGCCCTGGCTGCCTGGCCGGCGGGGACAGACACACACACACACAGGAAGTCTGATGACCCGGTGCTGCCCGGGGTATGCCCAAGCTGAGAACGTCAACAGCAGTATTTCAGAATGATGGTTTTCATGAAAAACAAAGTTTAAAAAAACAATGTGAACGCTAAGCTATACCATTCTCTGAAGCCACAGTGTCTACACATTAGGAATACTACCACCAACTAGCCAAGGCTTATCCAGGCTGTGGGCGGCTCCTGAGAACCCCTTCAGCTCTTTCTTGTTGACTCTTAAGTCTCAGACTCTGAGGAACTATTTCACATTCGGACTTTAAAGCCCCCAAATGCAGCACGGGCAGCCGGTTTTGGCAGATGGTGTAGAGAGCCACGGTGGTCAGTGCGCTCTGGACGTGGGAGTCTTTCAGGGCCGTGGCGGGGGCTCCAGCCTGGACCACAGCCCTGCGATGCAGGTGTTCTGGGCAAGGCTGCTGCCAGGACCCCCCGAGACAGAAGGAGGGTCTTCTGAAGCATTTTTAGCAAACACCAAGGGGCACGGGACTTTACATTAGGGCCAGACAATAGCTAATCAAAATCGGTGGCAAACCTGATGCTGGAGTCACGCATTTAAGCAAATACATCCCAAACAAATCAATGAGCTGCTTTTTTGTTAATGAAAAGGAGATGGAGTGACTAGGAAGCTCGGACATGCAGCGCATCCCCCCGCGAGTGCGGGCGTGGACGGGCAGACGGCCACTGAGGGAGCCGTGACCTGGAGCGTCCGAGCTGCCACGCACTGAGAATCAGAGGCCTGAGCGGAAATGCCACGCCCCCAGACTGACCGACCGTCCAGACACGACTCTGCCTGCCCGGCCACGTGCCCAGACCTCCTCCCCCGCCGTCCCTGGGGGCAAAGGCTGGTGCTTGCACATACCTGCACCTCTCTCGAGGTGGGGTGCTCGGGTCTAACCAAGCTCACATCTACTACACCTGCCTGCAGAATGTTAAAAATCTCTGCAAACACAGAGTATAAACTACTCCTTCCTTCTGAAATCCTAACCGTCTGGCTGACAAGGGCTGCAGCACGCAGACCTGCACAGCTCCCATCTCACACACACTCTGGGGACAGCAGAGCGCTAGTCCCTGCACCCCCTCACGCCGTCCCCGATCCCCGATTCTGACCCGCGCCACACACCTGCACGAAGAGCAAGGAGGCCGAGCACCCGAGCACCTCTCGCGTCCGGGACCTGGTCACCCCACGTCTGTGCACAGTGAGGGTTTTACAGAATTGGCTCTGGGACGTGCTGAGTAAAGTGCTGGTGGCATGTGTTTGTTTTAATTCGTGGAGAATAAAAGTTTATAGCAAGAATCCAACGTGGGGAGCTTGCTTGAGACAGAGGAGCTCCGTGCACGCTCAGGCTCCCAGAACACGCTGGTTTTTTTGTGTTTGTTTCAAATAAGGTAAAGGCTTTCAGACTAAAGTATTCCAGCAAAGACATGCGTGGAGGATCAAGAGTTTCTAAGGGAAGAAAATGTAATGTTGGGAAAATAAATGCACAAAGGATTTTTAATAAAGTTATCTTTGTGAAAAACAATCTGACATTATCTGTTGCAAGACATTTATTGATTTGACCTCAAAAAGCTAAATAAATTAAACAAGTATTTTATAATTAATTACACATCATTATGACCAAAAGTAATTTTTATGGCATTTTACTAGGTCTTCAGGGAATTTAATTTATTCATGTGCCTGATTAAATCCAAGTGCCTGAAGGAGCTATTGATTCATATTGCCAATACTGCTGTGGACGTGGGGGTGCGTGCGGCCCCCACCCTGACCGACCGTGCCTGCGCCATGACGGGGTGACCCGTACGTAGGACAGAGGTTCAGTTTTACTCTGAAATCCAACTTTTCTGTTAACACAGAAACAAACAGACAATAAAATGACCTCATGAGGCTGAATATAAATCCTATCTCTTCAGGGAGAATTTGATGAAATGTAGGATTGATCATATTTGTATCTTATTTTCTATTTTTACAGTGAATCCTACACACAAATTAGAAGGACATTAAAATCCTAATTAAAATCTTGCAAATAACAAAGGTTACAAAATAAATATATTACAATATAACTTTGGTTGTATATGTAATATTATTTTAGAATTTTTAGTGAATGATTAGTAATGCTATCTTTTCACTAATATGAACAAAATATAATTAATAAGGACCTACTTATATATCTACACGCAGTCACACAAAAACCAAAAACAGTAGTTGTTTATACAGAAAGTAAGCTATTTGTAATTAAACAGAACTCCTGTCCTTCCTACTGCACGAAGTTGACAGGAACCGGGCTCACTTAAAGTAACATGGTGGAGAAGCAATACCGTCTGGTTAAGAGGTGGGGTCGTATCTCCCCCAGGGACGGCGTGCACCATGGGCAGGGCGGGAGGCGCAGCTTACCTCCTCCTCCAGCCAGTCGTTGTATTGCACGATGGAGGACATGGCCACGTCGGCCCCTTTCATGTAGAAGGTGATTTCTGCAGTGGACTCGTCCTGGGACAGAAGGAAACACAGGCACATTCAGGCCACGCTGCTGCCGGGAGTAACGGCCGCATGAACAGAAACCCACCAGGGAACGCAGTTCTCCCTGAACCTATCTGCAGTGAGCTACCCAAATAGCCTTCTATGCAGGGCAATGTCCGCCCCTAGATGTTCAGGCAGACAAGCCCAAGAACATAAATGCAGATCCTGAGATGTTGTGCTGAGGTTGTGGAAACAAAGTCCGACTGCAAGATAAAGGTTAATTCTCTCAAATGTTCATTGCTTCATTGATAAGCTTTCCTTGGTTAGCCAACTTCCAAGATATGTTTCTGGTATTTGCTAAGAAAATTTAATAGAGATGCACGTCAGCAACTTTGTCGTCATAAATCATTCCCCAGCACAGCTCCTTGGCATGCTGCTGCTGTTGGAAACAAAACAGACAGCTTTAGCTGATTTCAAAAATTAATCGCTAACACCTTTTACTTGCTCTGCCTTTGTCGTCTTAGGAGAGTTACCTTAAATCACTACGGCTGGGGCCTCACTAGCTTCTCAGTATAAATTCTTAGTTTAGATCTGATTTCAAAAATAAGCAAGAAGCACAAATCGTTTGAACGAGCAGTGAAAGAGAAACACCCCGAGTCTCTAGCATGGTGCGTACAGTGAGCCACGCGCAAGCCCGAGGGAACGCGAGCGGCAAGTCTACCCGGATGATAACCCCCATGCGCTTGCTCTCCGAGGTGAACGGGAACATCTGCAGGATGCAGTAGGTCAGGATCTGGCCGCTGGGGGTCCTCAGCTGCATGGAGGCGAGGTCTCTGCTGACCAGGGTGAGGCCGACGCTCTCCGTCCACTGCACCAGGGCCACCTGGGGGAGACCAGCGAGACGTGAGGCCACGTGCTCCGCAGGAAGGGAAGCAACAGGCGAGCGGCGGGACAGCTCGCCCACATCAGCCGCTTCCAAGGCCTCCACGAGAGCGCTGCGGGGGCTGTGACCGCGTCGGGCACTTCGTTAACAACGTTAAGGCTAAAGGACCAGCGCTGTGAGAGCCCCTGGTCGCACCTTCTAGCAGAACAGCCATGACTGATCACGCTTCTGGGGCTAGTGTGTTTACGTGCTGCCCAGAGGCCGGCTTCTTTTTTTTTTTTTTTTAAAGATTTTATTTATTTATTTGAGAGAGAATGAGAGAGAGCATATGAGAGGGGGGAGGGTCAGAGGGAGAAGCAGGCTCCCCGCCGAGCAGGGAGCCCGATGCGGGACTCGATCCCGGGACTCCAGGATCATGACCCGAGCCGAAGGCAGTCGCCCAACCAACTGAGCCACCCAGGCACCCCCGGAGGCCGGCTTCTAAGATCTGGACGGAACGCCGCTGCCAGGGACGCCCAGCCCCGCAAGCGTTTCCGGTGGCCTCGCAACGCCACGTCCCTCGTGTTTTCCTGCTCTTCCTAAAATAAGAGCTGAGCGGGTGACTGAGGACAGCGCACGGGTCACCTGAACGTCTGAGAAGTCGGAGCCCAGCTCCGCCAGCAGCCCCAGCTGCCCCGGGCACGGAACCTTGCTGGCCTCTTCCATCACGGGGAAAACGTAGCGCACGCTGTTCTGGATCTGAAGGACCAAACCTCCCTGGCAGCACACAAACACGGAAGTGCTCTCATTTATGGTTATTTAGTGTTCACTATTAGGATGTGAGAATCATGAACAGAAGAATAATTTTCAAGGTTAATTTATGAACAGTATTTTCATGACAGTGTTTTCTGGAAAAACATCAGTTTGCCTTTAAAAGCCATCTCAGGACAAGAGATTCACCAGCTGGCACGAGGTCTGCTGACCCCACGCTCAGCAAGGACGGCCACACGCGCAGAAGGCAGCACTCGTCCTGCCCCCCCTGCCCGGCTCCCCCTCGGGGGCCAGCGCCGGGCCTCCTGTGACGGTCTCTCCCTGGCTGAGCGCCGCATCCTCGCTTGCGATTTTATTCCCCGCCCACGCGTCCAGCACTCCACCCAGGGTTGCAGAAATCAAGTCCTCAGGAGCATCGTGGGTTCTGTCTGGTGAGCAGAACTTTACTGCTGAGCCTCAGCGTCCACCGCCAAGTCATGTGAGGACAGGCTGCGATAAGGCTCGGCAGCTCTGGCTTCGAGGCGGGACCGCTCAGGTCACCCCCCATCCCCGTTCCTCATCTGTACGGTGGTGGCGGCCGGGCCACCTCGCAGGACCCCACGCACGTGAAAGTCACCGGGGACGCTCAGCACATCTGGGTCGATGTTAGGGTTCTACCCTTCATCCTCTCTCACAGATGCCATCCGAGATGTCCCCCGCAACGCCACGAAGGCCAGGAATCCCTTTTAAAGTGGGGCTTTCTAGGTAGTTCCCGCAGTTCTAACTACCGGAAGGTTCCAGCACAACCGTCAACCGAGGGTGAGGAGATGCTTGCTGTTTTTAATGCTTCCACCTTGACCCAGTGCCACCCCGTGGAGGCCGGGAGCATCCGAAGATAATAAGGTAGGAAAAATTGAAGCGAAATATTTCCTAGGACTACAGAGAGGTTTCGTGGGCTGCGGATGTTCTGGAACACAGCTGAGGGCATTGCCATGCATCATTCTGGGCCCTGCTGGCAGGAACAATCGCGGGACACCGGAAACGGCCACGCTCCACGGGGCTGGCTGTAAAGGGATCCCCAACAGACCACTCGGTCTCCTCTACTGGGGTGCCTTTATTTCCCCAGTTGTGAGCATCTCGCAAAGGAACCAAATAGACACGTATGGCTACTGTTCTAGGACAGTAAAGACATATTTATACAGTTTACAATCTCACTTTATTTTATAAATACTCAATGCATCAGAATTCACCTGGCAGAGATTTCTCATCTAAAAAGTTTGCATAGGGAGTAAGCCTGTAGTAAGTGGAATAGCAGGACTGAGAGTGACATTGTAGTATTCATCCTGTATTTTTGATTTCTTCCGAGACAGAGTCAGAGATGCATTCCTATAAAAAAGGCATAAAGGGATCAAAGCACCTTGCTCCCCCTGGCTCGTCATCTGAAGCCCAGTGCCATCCTCGAGGAGCAGACCCAAGGAGGCCCATCGTGGACGAGCTGCCCAGCGGTGCTGCGTTCCCTCAGCGCCGGGTGCATGGGGGGAGGCTTCCTACCCCGCTTGTCTGGCCCCACTGCCCACGCCTACCCCCCCCCCCCCCCCGTCGCTGGGCACAAGTCTGCTTGCTGAGGTAGGAACAGCTACGTACAGTGTGCCAATTTCTGCTCCTCAATTTTCCCTTTAAAGATACAAGTTTCATTTAAGTTAATAAAATCATACTATTAGCTGACCTATAAATTCAAGACAGCAAAATGTTACATATTAGATTGCCAACCAGTGAGATCTAACGGTGTAGAATTCTCATCTTGCTGTGAGCAACACCATGCAGTCAGCTCTGGCATCTAGGAGAGCGCCGTCCACACGCGCTGGGCCAGGCCCGCCCACGAGGGCGTCTGCACAGACACCCCGGGTCAGGGGGTGTTCCCACGGTCTCACTGAAGGGAAAATTCTGACGTTGGGCCTTTCCTGCTGTGTCCACCTTGACCTTCTGTGTGCCTGGAGCGGCCTGGACACTACCAGGTGTCCTTACCCAGAACCACTGACCAGAGACAATGTGCTCAAAAGGCTGGAAGACTGAGTTTAAAGAGCTAAGGCAAAACTCGAAACAAGAAAAAGCCCAAAGCCCTGAATCTGTACAATATTTGGGCTGGTCGGACCATGCCTGACGTGCTGGATTTCCTCTGCTGCATTTTGGGAGCCTGCTGTTCTAGGAACACCCAGCATCTTACCTTTATAAATGTGAAGCCCTACTCTCAACGTGTAATTGATGCCTCTCCCCTTTTTCTGGGAAATAAAGGAAATGAGCAAATTTTTACTTTTGTCTATTTTAATTAACTGTTTCAATAAGATCTCTGTTCTCCCTTTCCAGAAGATAAATTAGACAAATAGTAACAACTTGAATGTTTGTTTGTCAAATACTGTGAGAAACTGCTGTCTAGAAATGTTTTGCTGCAAAACAGTGAAGGACCAAAGCTGCCTCAGATAGGGTCACTCAGTCAGGAGAGCACGCTGTGACCCCTCACCTCTGCCGGGGAGTGAATGCAAGGTCAGAACACTCCCCTGCGTAGGGGCAACAGCCTGACTCCACGGCTTGCTGGGCCTGTGCTTCTGGGGGTGACCTCCGTGCCACGGGAACGAGCCCTGGGAACGGGCGGCCAGCTACACGTGGTCGGCACCATCCCTGTGCTTTACGGAGGGGCGCCGGTCTCGTGGTGTCCCCTTGACCTGCAGGGCTGGAAACGAAGGTCAGCCACGTGTGGGTCACCCGCGTCTACACGAATGACCCCCAGTGAAAACCCTGGACGCCCAGGCTCAGGTGGGCTTCCTGGGTTGGCAGCGCTCCATGCACGGTGTCACATCATTGCTGCAACGAGTGAGTGCTGTCCGCAGGACCCCCGGGGAGGGACCCCGGCCTGGCACCCCTTCCCCTGGTCCCACTGGTCCTCTTGTGCTCATCGCCGTGAGGTGAGTCTGACGGCTGCGCAGTCCTGCTGGTGAACCCGGGCTGGAAGAAGGTCTTGCGGACCCCCAACCGCGGCGCGCGTCTGACCACGTGCAGAATACGTGTGTACCGAGCACCAGCGCCCCCCCCAGCTGAGCCTCCCCAGGACCAGTGAGCCCGACCAGGTCAGGAGAGGGAACTCCAGGTTGGACAGAGAACAGAAAAGCCGCGTGGAGATGCCCGAGTGTTACTTGGCACTGCCTTGGGGAGAGAGTAGAAGAAAAAAATCGTCTTTTGACTGGATTCGGGATTTTCCACTGCTTTTTAAAATTAAGTAAAGCCATCTAGAAAGGCAACATCTCTGGTCCTAGAAAGGATCTGCGTGTCTGAATCGGGGTGGCCGGGGCCACAATTGGAGACGGTGAGTTAGACGCGGCAGAACTGAAGGCAGGCAGGTCCTCCCACGGCAGCGAGGACCCAGCGGCCTAAGTGTTCACATGTTCTCAGGCCCCCACTCAGCACCAGACGATGGGACAGCCCCGCAGGGGTGGACACACGCCCCGCAGACTGCTGAGCGAAGGGTGGTCTCCGTGGCCCACTGTATTGCCTGGGGTGGGGCATCCGTGGCAGCCTCCCAGGGTGCAGACGCTCCGCAGGCTGGGTGAGCCCCGACTCCAGACCCATGCACCAGGAGTGCTCTCAGGTGGCTCTTTTCTACTCCTCCCCACGGGCCACCCCCCAGGCTCCACGCTGGGTGGTTTGTTTGCAGCAACAGTAACACGTGGGGGCTGTCTTGCTCCTGAGCTGAGTGGCTGGGTCACATGTGAGTCCAGCATCCCGTAGGCGAGCGGACTGTTGAACAGTGAGTCACTGTGCGGCTCAGATTAGAGCTCGCCATCTCTGGCTTTCCAGCGTGTTACCTGAGCTCCTCAAGTTTGCCCAGATCCTAAAACCCCATACGGCTAATACAGCGCTATAATCGGGAGCACCAGCGATATGCTCTAAGTTACAGTACTACAAAAAGACACGTGGCCATCAACAGAAAGAGCACATCCAGAAGGGGCAAGCGAACAATTCTGCAACTCACTTCAGGTGGAAAAGGAAATGCACACTGGACACGTTTCCTATAAAACCTCGCTATAAAGTGCCAACGACCCAGGACTCCCCAGGTGAAATGTTGAACGTCCACTGTGAAAGCGGGACTATTACAGTCTGACGTTAAACTGCATGCTTCTGCGGACGCCCCGTCACCTCCTCCGCGCCCCACCAGGCGGGTTCAGCAGTCTACACTTGTGGACTCACATCTGTTTACTACGTACTTCACGACCCGTTCCAAGCAGCAGCTCCTAACAGAAGCCGTCTAGTGGCTTACACCCGGCCAGCGTGCCACGCCAACTGTTAATCATCATCATTCTGAGGACTAACTCTCTACATAACGCCAACCAGAAGAGAAGTATAAACTTTTTCACAAGATAGATGCTTTAACTGCTGTTCTGACACAAGCTGCTTAGTGGTGGGAGGCTTCTTTTGGGTGCCACAAAATCAAACATTTCTGGATGGGCCTGTAAACAACCAACCCCAAAGGATGGACCCGGACATGCAGTACTTGCAGCGGGCTTCCCGCCAACGTGCTCAGTACCTGCCCCTGGAGTCAGCCACGTGGCTACGAGCTCGCAGTGAAGGGCGGACAGTGTCCTGTTCTTGAGCTTCACCACCTCGACTCAGAGCGCACTAGGCGCGAAGCGGGCCAGGCCAGAACCCGCACAAACTCTGACGCAGGGCAGCAGTATTTGTTCAGAGAGCCTCCTAGAGTAACTTCCATCTAGTGCTATTAAATGTAGAAATGAAAGGAAAGAAAATGTCAAGGGCATTGACAGTTTGACTCTATTTTCCTCCTCAAGACGTTTAAGCAATTAAAATTACATACTTTGCGAAAGCACGAAAGCCGCGCTCATGTGTAACGAACGGCACGGCTACGAAGTGTGAAGCGGCTCAAGGGACGACAGCATGAACTCAGACAGCAGATCCCCACCGTGCCG